AGGAAAAGAGATCACATTTCTCCTGTTTTAGCTTCTTTGCATTGGCTTCCAGTAAAATCCAGAATAGAATTTAAAATCATTCTTCTTACCTACAAAGCTCTTAATGGTCAGGCACCATCTTATCTTAAAGAGCTCATAGTACCTTACTACCCCACCAGAGCACTGCGCTCCCAGAATGCAGGGTTACTTGTGGTTCCTAGAGTCTCCAAAAGTAGACTAGGAGCCAGAGCGTTCAGCTATCAAGCTCCTCTCCTGTGGAACCAGGTTCCAGTTTGGGTTCAGGAGGCAGACACCATCTCCACATTTAAGAGTAGGCTTAAGACTTTCCTCTTTGATAAAGCTTATAGTTAGGGCTGGCTCAGGTAGTCCTGAACCATCCCTTAGTTATGCTGCTATAGGCCTAGACTGCCGGGGGATTTCCCATGATGCACTGAGCTCCTCTCTCCTCTACTTTCTCTCCCTCTGTATGCAACCTCATCCCATTATTGCATGTTACTAACACAACTTCTCCCCTTTCTGGTAGTCTTGTGCTTTCTCGTCTCTCTCCTCTCTCCTCCTATCACTTCCTGCAGGTTTTCTGGCTCTGGAGCTGTGGAGTCTGGAGCTGTGGCTGTGGGTCACCTGCTGCCCCCGTGTTCCTGCTCGACACCCTCTGCTACAACGACTATTGTTGCTAGTCTTATTGTTATTATTGTTATTATAATCATTAACATTATGATGGTTACCATTAACACTATTATAAATATCTGTACCATTTTTCATTTGGTCTATAGCAGCATTACCTTCACTGTGTGTACCTCTGTGTGTATATTGTGTAGGCTGCCTCCCTCCCCTCTCTCTCTCTCCTTACATCTCTCTCTCTCTCTCTCTCTCTCTCTCTCTCTCTCTCTCTCTCACCCCAACCGGTCGAGGCAGATGGCCGCCCACCCTGAGCCATGGTTCTGCTCGAGGTTTCTGCCTCTTAAAAGGAAGTTTTTCCTTGCCTCTGTCGCCTAGTGCTTGCTCTTGGTGGGAACTGTTGGGCTTCTGTAAATAACATCACAGAGTACGGTCTAGACCTGCTCTTTTATGAAAAGCGCTGTGAGATAACTGTTGTTGTGATTTGGCGCTATATAAATAAAATTGAATTGAATTGAATTGAATTGGTTTGGCACGATAGATCTGCAAAGACGCTTATTTCTAGTCTCCATCCGTCCCTTTCACAGGAAGTTCCTGAGGTTTGCCTTCAAAGAAGAGAAAAGAAGAGCGGCTTACCAGTATTGGGTTCTTCCGTTCGGCCTAGCACTGTCTCCCCGCACGTTCACCAAATGCATGGATGCAGCTCTGGCCCCGCTGAGGCTCCAGGACATCCGCATACTGAACTACATCGACGACTGGCTTGTCCTGGCCCAGTCTCGAGAGTTAGCAGTTTGGCATTGAGATGTCGTCCTCGCCCACCTTCAGCGCTTGGGGCTGCGGCTCAACGCGAAGAAGAGCGTGCTGATGCCCGCCCAACGGACTACGTTCCGGGGTGGTGTGGGACTCAACGACGATGTGGGCCCACTTGTCTCCCGCACGTGTCGAGCCCATTTCATCCTCAGTGACCAGAGTGCAGTTAGGCTGCGCCATCACTGTAAAACACTTTCAGAGGTTGTTGGGTCTCCTGGCAGCAGCGTCCAGTATAATACCTTCCGGACTACTGCACATGAGAGCCCTGCAGTGGTGGCTAAAATCCAAGGGATTCTCCCCGAGGGGAAATCCGCTCCGTCTGATACGGGTTACAAGCAGATGCCTTCGTTCCCTGTCTGTATGGAGGAAATCTTGGTTCCTGTCCCGAGGTCCCGTGTTGGGAGCAATCTGTTATTTCAACAATTATTTCACGGGATGGGGCGCGGTCATGGACGGCCGCTTTGCAAGAGGCTCCTGGGAGGAGCATCATTTCTCCTGGCACATAAATTGCCTGGAAATGTTGCCGGTACTCAGAGCTCTGAGGAGTTTTCTGCCCGCTCTCCGCGGTAGCCACATCCTTGTCAGAACCGACAATACGGCAGTGGTTGCCTATTTGAATCACCAGGGGGGTCTGCGCTTGCGCCCCTTATGCAAACTGGGACGGCATCAGTCTACTACTAGTAGCCTCGTTTTGACCGGCACGAGTGTGGTTCTCGGATTTAATGTCGCTCCTCGAGGGCCCGCCCTGGTAGGTCCCTCTGAGGAGAGACCTGCTGTCCCAGGCGGAGGGCCGGATCTTTCACCCGCACCCCGCCTTGTGACAGCTATGGGTCTGGCCCCTGAGGGGGCGCAGTTCCTAGAGGCGGGCCTGACGACAGGAGCAGTCGAAACGCTGCTCAGCTCCAGAGCCCCGTCCACGAGAAGGATGTACGGGTTCCCAGGGTTCCCACCTGGGACCTGGCAGTGGTTCTCAAAGCGCTGGCTGAGGCCCCCTTCGAACCCTTGGAGTCGGCTGAGGCCAAGCACCTGACCCTTAAGATGACCTTTCTCCTCGCTATCACCTCTCTGAGGAGGGTGGGGGATCTCCAGGCACTTTCGATTTCTCCCCAATGCCTGGAGTTTGCCCTGGGGAGGGTCAGGGCCATCCTGCACCCTTGTGTCCCTAAGGTTCCGGCCAGACTGGCAGGGTCCACGGTGCTGCAGGCGTTTCATCCCCCACCTCATGTGACGGCGGAGGACGGGAGACTTCATCTGCTCTGCCCTGTCAGAGCACCGAGTATTTATACTCTGAGGTCTTCCCGGTGGAGGAAAGCAGACCAGTTGCTGGTGTGTTTCGGGTCCCCCAAGGCTGGGCTCCCCGCTTCTAAACACACCATCAGCAATTGGTACATTCAGACTATTTCCCTGGCCTATCTCGTGCGCGGTTTGCCTTCACCTATGGCCGTAAGGGTGCACTTTACTCGAGGCATGGCGGCTTCTAGGGCCCTCCTCGCAGGGGCGTCACTCCAGGATTTGTGTGACGCAGCTGGCTGGGCCACCCCTCACACTTTCATCCGGTTCTACAGTCTGGACCTTCCTTCTGCACCCGGCACCCGTGCGCTCTCCTCCTAGTCGTGCCGTCAGGTTCTGCACACTGGGGGCAGGCGGGGTTTCGGCGCGGCCTAAGTGGGTATCTCGTTCCCATAGTGTCATCACCGACGCAGTTTGAGTTCCCTCACAGGGGAACGTCTCGGTTTACGTATGTAACCCTTGTTCCCCGAGAAGGGGAACGAGACACTGCATCGGTTCGCCACACCTCACCCCACCTGGAGTGCCTTGCTTCATAGAAAAGGGCTAATGTGTCCTGTGTGCCGGCGTGCTATATACCCCTCCGGTTACGCCGTCACACACTACCATTCTAGCAACACCAATAGGATTGGAGTAGTTTGATCCATAGTTCAGCCCTGCCACGCCCAGAGGTGTTCCCATAGTGTCATCACCAACGCAGTGTCTCGTTCCCCTTCTCAGGGAACAAGGGTTAAATACGTAACCCGAGACGTTCTTGAGTCTGTTGGTTTTGGCGTACGTGCTCTGTAGCACCTGCCAGAGGGGAGAAGCTGGAACAGGTTGTGTCCAGGGTGAGATGGATCTGCAGTGATGTTTTGAATTGTCACTTATCACCTTAATTTTGTTTCCCTTTCCCTTCCCTTCCATAAATTGGTGCAGAAAAATGTCTCCAGAATGGAGATTAAGAGTTAATGCTCAAAATCTTCTGGTGGAGGACTCCCAGACCCCCAGACCCCATAGATTTCATCATCAAGTATTTCTTCAAAATGCTGTGAAAATATCTTCTTTTATATATCTTCTATTCATTGTCTTGTTCTCGTGACCATAGTCTTTTAATCACACCCCTATCTCAGACGTTATGTCCCCACCACTCTTCAACACAAAGTGACGCCCTTGATTAGAAAGATGTTTCCCGACTTTTTTTAATAAGGAGATAATCAAAGTTGGAGAATCTGTCAGTAAGGAACATTAATTTACTTAATAAATTACTTAATTTATCGTCAGTTCCATTCAGTAACGTGAGGCCAAATACATCATTCCCAATGTTCAGAACACACCATTACCATTTTCTGGGTTATTTAATGATGAAGTCACAGTCAGAATATCAATCATTCCAGATGTAGATATCAATAAATAATACATATAAAGGCATTCTGTGAATCGAACTGACTCTGCCCCTCTGAGCAGGACACAGTAAAAATACAGAATGCAGGTTCTTCTTCATGTGCAGGTGTTTTCTAAACAGGTAACAGCTACAGAGAGAAAACATGCGGCTCTGCACTGATAAATGTGAGGCTTTATTGGTATCAGCGCAGTGCACACGTGTGCTGACACAACAGATCCTTTTCTCCTTGCATCTCTCATTTATCCCAGTTGGGAGGGACTAAGACTCAAGTGAGGGAAACGTAGATGCAATTAAGAGACTTGATAAGCACATTACGTCTGATAAAGTGAGTTCTGCACCAAATAGAGGACAGATCATAAAGCCCTGAGTGTGCAGTTCCCCACCTCTCTGATGCCTTCAAAAATGGGCTTTGTCACACCCTGATTGGCCAAGAGGGTGTGGTATATAACATATGTGCATTTGACCATTACAGTTTAACATAATGCTCTGTAGCTGGGGACAGTGAACCCTTATGGGGACAGTGAACCCTCCTATAGAACTTGACCCCTGACTCAGAGCTGGACAGAGGCACAGTGAACCCTTAAGGGGAAGTAATGATTGATGGGTGTGCAAAGAGTGAACCCTTCTATGAAATTTGACCTCTGACCCAGTGGTAGGGGGAGTAGAGGTTAGTGTGTATGAAGGGACTGTGCCCTTATATGGTATTTAGCAGAGACCTAAACATGTCCTATATAAGCTGTGTTCAATGTACAGAGAGACAGAGTGGCCATCGGGCTGGGTCACTCTCCAAGCTGCTGCAGAGCTTGTAATTGATGCTGAACTCCTTGATGTAATAAACTTTTATAATCAAGAACAGTGTCAAGCGGATTTCTTCTCAACACATCATCGCAGCATTATCGTTCGGACACCACAAGGGAAATCACAAACTCCTGTCAATCGCTGTTGAAGAGTCGGTCCCCACCCTGATCTGAATGATCCTCTAATCAACCCAGAGGAATGTTTTAAAAAAAGAAAATTAAATATCAACAAATACATATGAATGAGGGACTGCTACAACATTAATATGATGGACCCCTTAATGAATCAGTGATTATAATCCAATGATAAAATATTATTCTGACATGGGCCCTAATGAGTACTAAATACAAAAGTATATTTTATGCTACACTGTAGTATCTGAGCAGTTCTTCCACCGCTGTCAGTCGGTTTTGGCAAAATTATTAAAAGCAAATTAGAAACAGCTGAGACAGTTTCTTATTATTGTATGTTGCGGCTCTTTATTATTTAACCAACATTGTCGTTCCAAACCTTTTTAGCTCCCAACACCTTCAAACTAAATCATCACACGTTTTGACCTCAGTGGGAAAGCAGTGTTTTCTCGAGCCATGAAGGAACATTTTAACTTCAGGTTTTAAACCTCCCAACATTCCTGCTGTCCTCGAATCTCCCTGTGGGTAGACCTGGGAGCTGTGAGGCTTTTGTGGTGGGACTGGATGTCTGGTCCTCAGGGCTCTGTGAGGACTGACAGGACCAGACCATCGGGTCCAAAGAGCTGGAGTTCATTTTCAGCTCAGACCTGTTCCCTTTAGGGCCCCGGGGCCATAATGTAACAGCCTCAGAATGTTTGGCATCCCAACCTGACCTACCACACCGCCCCCATTTTCAGACATAAAAGCAGGCGAAATCCCAGCAGCTCTTCACTCTCTGCTCAGAGCCGACGACCAGCCGACCCTCAGCCATGACCTCCTTCTCCAGCCGCAGCAGCTACATGTCCTCCCCCATGAGGAGCTCCGTCATGATGGCCCCCTCTGTGTCCTCCTCGTCCCGCCTGGGGAGCATGAGGGCCGGCAGCGTGTACGGAGGAGCTGGAGGATCTGGAGTCCGTATCTCCATGTCCTCCTCCTCCTCCTCCAGTGCTGGTACTGGTGCTGGCGGTGCCTTCAAGCTGAGCGACGCCATGGACGTCTCTGTCAGCGAGAAGGCCACCATGCAGAACCTCAACACCCGCCTGGCCACCTACCTGGAGAAGGTGCGCAGCCTGGAGAAGGCCAACGCAGAGCTGGAGCTGAAGATCAGAAAGTTCCTGGAGAGCAAAGCTGCGCCGGAGGCTCACAACTTCAGCAGCTTCAACGTCCAGATCAAAGACCTGCAGGACCAGGTGAGAACAGGAAGACGGAAAATCTGCAGTTTGTGCAGAAAAGAGCAGATTCTAGTGGGACCGCTTTACCCTGAATTTAGCCTCTCAGGCAGCATGTGTTTGCAGGCACACCTCAACATGTTCGACCAATCAAATTATTTGACCAGGGTTAGAGGTGACGTCAGGAGGTCATGTCTTTGGTAATATTTTTAGAAAAGTATAAAGTACCCTAAAAGTGTATTTATAAAAATCTTAAAACCAAACACAACATGAAACATAGATAAAAAGAGAAAGGGACTGTGCTGGAGAGATCAAAATTAAATCCAGATTAAGGCATCTTACCAGGAAGAGATACAGGAGATAAAATATGTTAAATTAGTAAAGATAATTATTAATATTATTTTAATACATTTTAGTGATTTTCGAAAAGGATGAAAAATCTGTACAGAGTTTGGTTTGTGGCTTGCCAGAAGTTTCTCTGGGTTTGACTTGCTGAACTCTTACTTGCTTTATTTTAACAGTACAATGTTGTTTATTCAACATCGAACGCTGATTTACCCCTGATCTCAGCCTAAAAGTCTTAGTGAGTTTGTAATATAACAACATCAGACAGCTGAACCACAAACACCAGACTGATAAATATGTGTTTAACTTCCAAAACAAGAGGATGATGAGGTGCCTAAGGTCATCACCTGTCTGAAGAGTTTCCGCAAAGGTTATTATTCAGAAATTAGGTGGATTTTTTAGGTTTTAAGTTAATATAACTTCTTTGTTTTTATAATTTTAACGTTGTTGTTTTTTTAAGTTGTCTTACTTTTGGGGAAGAAAATGTTTGTAATTTTAGAGCCACCTGATGCCCACAGAGCTCCATCTTTAAAACAGCCAAATCAGTCTATTGAAGCCTTTTAGCCAAACTGCCAGTAGTTCACAGTTTCTCTCTTCCTTCCCGCTCAGATCCAAGATGCTGCTTGTAAAAACGCCACATTCGTCCTCTCCATCGACAACGCCAACTTGGCCAGGGACGACTTCAAAGTCAAGTGAGTGTGAGACTGTGTGTTTCCTCCAATCGAGTCGTGCGTCAAAACGGCAATATGACATAATCCTATTGAAGATGTCTTTTTGTGATCTCGTTCTTCCCAGTCATGTCAACATTCAGGTGAGTTTCCTAAACTAATTGTTGTGTTTTTCAGGTACGAGAACGAGCTGGTCATGCGTCAGTCAGTTGAGGCCGACATCGCCGGTCTGAAGAGGGTCCTGGACGAGCTGACTCTGACCCGGACCGACCTGGAGATGCAGCTCGAGGGTCTGAAGGAGGAGCTGATCTTCCTCAAGAAGAACCACCAGGAGGTCAGTGGGCTTTCAGGTCTAAAAGAGTTTTGGGGTAAATAAAATGGCTAAATGACATTAAACACTGTCACCTTGTAGGAGCTGTTGGCGATGCAAGCTCAGATGGGCGGTCAGGTGAACGTGGAGGTGGATGCGGCTCCAGCAGAGGACCTCAATAAGGTCATAGAGGAGGTCAGGGAGTACTACGAAGCCACTGTTACCAAAAGCCGCAAAGAACTGGAGGCGTGGTTCAATGCAAAGGTAAGGACCTGATTTTAGCCACGCTAGAGACTCTTGGACTCACGTCTGTCCGTCCACCCCTGTAGTTCAGACTGAAACATTGTGATGAAATGTGGTTCAGACCTTCATGCTCCCCTCAGGATGAACTGTAATAACTTTGGTGATCCTCAGACTTTCCATCTAGCGCCATCATCAGGTCAACATGTTACTAACGTGCTGTTTCCTCTACAGACAGAAGACCTTCACAAAGAAGTCGCTATCAGCACAGAAACCCTCCAGTCGTCCAAATCCAAGATCACAGAGGTCAAACGAACGCTGCAGAGCCTGGAGATCGAGCTGCAGTCCCAGTTCAGCATGGTGAACATCACGTCTCATCACATCTTTTATGTCCAGTGTCTTTGTGAGGCAATAAAACTGATCCAGCTCCTCTCTCCTGCAGAAAGCGTCGTTGGAGGCCACCCTGAATGAGACTCAGAACCGGTACACCATGCAGCTGACGGGTTACCAGAACCAGGTGACCATGCTGGAGGATCAGCTGACGCAGCTGAAGGCCGAGCTGGAGAGGCAGTCCCAGGAGTACCAGATGCTGCTGGACATCAAGACCAGGCTGGAGATGGAGATCGCCGAGTACAGGAGGCTGCTGGACGGAGAGGCCAGCGGCAGGTGAGTGGAGGAAACAGTTTTCACAGCCGTTAACTCTTTAAAAACATGTTGAACAAGTACTTGAGGACAAAGACTCACAACCATCTTTAACCAACGTTCATCACTTGTACTTGATGATTACTTCTTGACTCTTTTCTGGAAACTCAACCAGAAAAAGAGGGAAAGGGATGGAACAGAGTCTGTAGCCATGCTAGCAGCTCTGAGAGCTAAATGCTAACAGCAGCAAGCAAACATGCTGAAGTTTAAAAGGTATAATGTTTACCATGTTCACAATCTTAATTTAGCGTGTTAGCATGCTAACATTTGCTAATTCGAAATCAAATTTGACACATTGCATTTTTAAAAATCTTTTCAACTCTCTTTAGACAGAAAAAGAGAAATTAACTAATCAATTATTTTCCATCCCGTGTTTCTGCAGCACCTCCACCACCACCAAGACCACCAAGGTCATCACCATAGTGCAGGAAGTGGACAGCTCTGGAAATGTGGTGACCAGCAGCAGCAAATAAAACAGGAAACACCTCCGACCAATCAGATGCTGTGAACTGAGTCTCTCTGAGGTTCTTCAATAAAAATGAAGTCTGACATTGTTTCTGTGGTTCATGTGCTTTTATTTCACACTCACACATCAGATGGAATGATTTTATCTACGAGAACAGAAGTCTTTTTCAGTCAGGATATATAGAATATAGTCAGAATATAGTCTTAATATTTTTATGGCAGATGTTGTGTAACATTGTTATCAGTTATAGATCTTCACAGGGACAAAACATTTCCACAGGAAGTTATAACCTCTTGGCACCAGACCGATCGATTTTCGCTGTTCTAGCTGTTTTCCGTCCAAAAACACCAGTCGTTTGTGTCAAGAGAGACTGTTTGGCGGGCCACCATCTTGGTGAAGTTGGCTGAGCCAATAAGTTTCGTTTCTGTTGTCAGATTGAATTAGAGAAGAATAGTTTGCTTTGGCGGAGGCGGGCTTTATCGGCCTCTGCTGGCGACCCGACATGCAGGATAGCAATCGATTCGTCTCTTCAATACGAAGAGAAAGAGCGCACTTACAGCCTTGTAGGATGTTCTGTTCTCAAGCTGTGGCCTGTAAAGCACGGGAGTGCTTTTGGTCACAGGAATATTGACTGTTTTTATCAATATTTCAATGTTTTGGAAGCTTTATGTTATTTGGAACATGGTTGTATGGAGAGAAATAATGTTTTGAAGATAACTCTCAATAAAAGTGAACATACAGTATAAACCATAAATATAGCCAAAACATGGACATTCGCCTGCTATATTTTTGATAGATTGTGTAATATCTTTTCTTCAAATTTACAGTATTCAGGTGCATTATAATCTACCATATGATGGTTTTGATGGTTTATTGCATTAAAATAAAGCTTTTTTTACCAGGCAAGGATGAAAATATCACATTTTGTCTTTATTGCATCTCCATTTAGTCTGAAATGGTAAAATAAATATGTTAATGTACAATTGATTTATATTCCTTAGCTTCGGACCTTTCAAAGGAGACCAGAATTATGCATCTAGGCCTAATAGTTGAGGAGTTATTACTGATTTATTTTCGGTATGTTATTTTTGGCATTCCTGGAAATAGGTGCCAGGGACCATGTGGCTAAATAACAACAATAAGCAATAGGTGTCAAGTCTCAAAGAATATCATCTAGAAACTGAACAATCTGTGTCTTTGTAATCAGAGAAAGTAAGTAATTAGCTGTATGTGACAACAATAAGAAAGAGAAGCAATATAATCATAATAATAAATATAGCCAAGAGCGGCGATGATCGGGATCCAAGCAAGTCGTGAAAAACGCAACATTTGATATTTTCAAAGGAGAAGAACAGATGCAGATGACTTAAGAGATTAAAATGATGAAAGAGTTTGGACTTAGAGATAATTAGGGAAACGCAAACTTGATTTTTACAGCATCACCTTGAGATTGTCATGATATGTACCTGACTACTGGGTAAAATGTTCAACCCACCTGCGACAAAATTCTTTTGATAACTTTTGATCAGCGACGTCCGTGGGTGATCCTGCCAAAGTTTCAGGTCGATTGGTGAAACCATCTGGGACAAGTTCGCAAAAATAGGTTTTAGAGGAAAGTGATAATAAGATTATAATTATATATGATTATAATTTGACATTTTTTAGAGCAGAAGACCATTGGAGCAAAGATGCAGATGAATCCAGAGATTAAAATGATGAGAGAGGTTTGACTCTAAACAAAATTGCAAAAATGTAAAGTTGATTGTTATAGCGCCACCATGAGGTCTATGAGTGCCATTTTTTTTTGCCTGAGTAGTGGAATTTGCAACCACCTGCCAATTTTGGTGAGTTTTCATGCAGCAATTTTGGCTGCCCAAACACATTAAGCAGAGATAAAGAAGAAAGAAAGAAAGAAAGAAAAATGAGAACAAAAACAATAGGGCTTCAGCAGCTTCGCCGCTTGGATCCGTAATAAACAGAAACACCTTCATTCTGCACGTCTACATTCTCTTTTTCAATAGATCCAGATTTAGCAGGCCTTTCATTTGATACCCTGGATGTCTATGTAGCTACTACAGGTCGGCTACCAGGCTGCGAAAAAGGCCAGGTGTTCTAAAGCAGCACTTCTCCTCTCTGCAGAAAAAGGGAAGGCGAGCACAGCTCAGTGTAGCAGCTTAAATGGCCATATTTAATTCTCCTATTATTTTGTACTATTGCAGCGGTGGTGCAATTTTTATTAGGTTTGTAAGCACAGCTCCTCTTTAGTGTTAAATAAGAGAGACAGCAAACAAACCTAAGGCTGAGATTAGGTACATCTCAATTTGCTTATTTGCTCATTCTACATCCAGCTTCTACTTTTCTTACTTGTCTAAAATTTCATGCTGTAGCATAAAGATTTTCCTAAACAAAGAACACACCAAAAACAGCCCCTCTCAGAAGTTTTAGGTGTGGTCCCAGTACTTTTTTCCAAATGTTGTTTTCTTTTATTTTGGAGGATTTTTGTTTTTTTCCTACACAGCAGGAAACAAAATGGTGGTCGATAAACACTGAACCCTGATTGTGTTTATTAGTTTTGCACCTAAAACTGAAATCAGCATACACATCATCATGTACCCTAAAAAGACATGGCCTCAGTGGTAGCTATGGTCCTGATTAAGATCCTCTTTTTACAATGCTAGGCTAGCAGTTTCCACCTGCTTTCAGTCTTTGTGCTAAACTATGCTAACATCCTGGATTATCTCTGAACTGGTTACATGAGCAGGATTTATCTAACCGTATCTAAACTGTTCCTTTGAGAGAAATTTCAGCAGCACATGTGACAAACGCCAGCTTTGATATGTTACGGTAAATGTGTTCAGTGAAGATAGGACACACATGATGAATAAAGAGAGATGCATGAAACCAAGTGAGAGAATAATAATAAGAATCCTTATTTGAAGAGCAATTTTCAAAATCCGTGTTACAAAGTGCCTTCTCAAAATAAAAAACAGATAAAAAACAATCAAAATAATGTTAAAGAAAAGAAAAATAAAGTCAACTAAAGACAGATAAGGCTCTCCTATTAAAGTGTTAAAGGGTCTTTAAGAGGTTCACGGACTCGCAAAGCTGCAAGTCATGTGGGTGGACCGGTTTTATTGTTTGACTTTCCTCTAAAACTTTCTCTGCTCAGCTCCTTTCAATCACCTGCCTGTCATCAGATCCCTGCTGAGCTGCTTGAAAGTGACAAATAAACCCTCCACACACTCCCAGGAGGGAAATATCTAACTGTGTGACACCTGTCAAACTAACCTGCAGAGCTGAGAGGTTCACTGCTGCAACAACAGGTAAATCCTTCAGGTGAAGGGTTTGCAATATCTCACCTAACAAGACGAAGAGTCTGCAGAAGTTAGCCACAGTGATACTAACTGCAGCATGCTAACATGCTGATGTGTTATGGGAATAATGTTTATCATGTTAGCATGTCAACATTAGCTGATTAGCAGGAAACACAGTGTACAGCACAGACTGATGGGAATCAGTTCTGCAGATATTTAGTCATAAACAAAGGGTTGGACACATTAAGGGCCGAGTTTACTAACATCCCAAATAAAGAGTACTTAAAGAGTGCATTTTAAAATATTACATGTGTAATTTTATTACCTGTTATGGGTGATTAACTAAGGCCCCTTCTACACTACTCCATTTTAGTTTTAAAACGAATACGATCTCCATCCACACCAGGGTTGTAGCTGCGTTTCAGAACTGATCTCCTAAATTAAAACGAATGAAAACGCACATCTGATGGCCATTCACGTACACTGGGCATGCGCATGCCGGTGTAAACGTGAAGCAGATGGTCTGTCCCATAGTTAGATTTGGCAAAAGACAAAACCACACCAGATTTTTTTTGGTTGCATGGACCGACAACGAGCTGGTACTGTTACTGAATGTAGCACGGGAGTTAAAAGGGACTGTGGAGGTGGAAAACAGACTGAAAGTCATCACAAAGTAAGTTTTTTTTACCTGTCCTGTCCAGCAGCCTGGTATGAGTATGAAGAGCTGGATACCATATTGTGCCAGACAGGATTTACTTTAACAACAGAGTATTAATGGGTGGCGCGGTGGTGTAGAGGTTACCACTGTCGCCTCACAGCAAGAAGGTGACATAGGAAGACAATTGAGAGAGAAATGAAAACTGAAAAATCTGAAAAACAACACAGCACCGCCGTGAGAGCTGAAATAATAACAATTAATTTAAATAAGTAACTGAATGAAAAACATCAAGAATAATTCTACCAGGGAGAATCTTTGTTTGTATGATGTCTATATGTGAGACTGTATATGTTTGTGTGCATAAGTCTGTTACAGAATGTAGTTCATAGTGAGAGTGGGATGCCACATCCACACAACCCAGTAGCCAATAGGGGTGGGAGAGAAGTCGACTCCCAGACGAACTGTGACGCAAACGCAGAAGATCCGATCCGACCAACAAACGCCAAAGACACCAGCCATCCAAATGCCAATTGACAACGCAATGCCGTCGGAAGGCAAAAGGCGGAACCCGGACCAACCGCGGCACGCACACAACAGAGGCCAGTGCCAACCCGCGACCGGCACTCCACTGCCGCGGAACGGGCAACCAAACCGCCAAAATGCCACGCAATCAACATCAGCACGCAAATAATGACCCCAACCTGCACATGAGCACAGTGACAACCAACGCCAGCCCCCTTCGTATCCCATGCGCAAGGAGAGAAAGCAAGCGGCAGAACACAACGGTGAAAGCCAGCAGAGAAAAACACCAGTAGGAAGTCGCAGCCCAGCAGCAAACATGCCGTCCAGGCCACGGTGCACCCGCTGATAAAAGTTTGCCGCCCCCCCAACCACCACCAGCCGGCGCAAACTGCCCCCACCCCCGGCAACCAGGGAGAGCACAGACCCCCACCCACAGATACACGGTGACCCACACTGCACACTCACCACCAGACAGAAACCCACCGCAAGCATCGGCAACCGCCTTCGCCATGCCCTACTACCCACTCCCACCCGCCCGGACCCACGCACAGGACCCACAAGGAGCCAGCCAAGCACAGAGTGCCG